AACTGCAGTTGTGGTAGTGTTGGTGAGGTCTCACGTTCTATCTCCCCCAGGCGTTTATACCTTTTCCGTCTAACCCCGCCCTAAACTTAGACTCAAACTCTGCCTATGCCCAACACTTGGCCCCGCACACGGCGACGTGAAACCTCCCACAAGACATTTGGATATGAATGGAACACAAGACGCAGACGATGGCACAACCCTAAGGGACCGCCCACAAGACGATACACGTATTGCGAAACGAACTTAGTGTGCAAACGTCGCGACACTGGGCGAGGTAAGCCGAAGTCCATCGTCGCCATCCGCATACCGGCCGCGATATTGTCGTCTCTCGGGGGGATACATACATCGTGCGTAGCAGCGTCAACGTCTTTTTCTAACCCCAACATTTTCACCAGAGAACGACACAATGTGACGCGTACACGAAAAACCCACCTGGGTCACCGCGGGTGTTAGGGTTCCCGACCTCCAGTATATGCCCACCTTGAACGGGCACCCCACCTGTAGCACCGGCGGAACGGAATCACAGCGCGCTCTAGTTTTCGGTTCGAGCCAAGATGTGAACGAACTCCGAAGCAAATCAACCCGACGNGCCCACCTGGTCACCGCGGGTGTTAGGGTTCCCGACCTCCAGTATATGCCCACCTTGAACGGGCACCCCACCTGTAGCACCGGCGGAACGGAATCACAGCGCGCTCTAGTTTTCGGTTCGAGCCAAGATGTGAACGAACTCCGAAGCAAATCAACCCGACGAAACACAGGACCTCGCCCGCCACTGAACGCTGTTTTGCACAAATCTGCCATGTGCATTTTACGCATGTCTCCCATGTGTTGTGCATCCACTCACTCTTTGGGACCTACGCTCCCGATTCTTCTTCCCTGCCGTGGGAACGTACTCCTTGAAGCGCGGCGACCCGTTGTGCTTGCATAATATCTCACAGTAGACGTGTCTCGATTTATCCGTCTTCAGCTGCGAACGCGAACATAGGAGCCGAACCACAAACGGCGAACCACAAAACGGTTACTGGGAAACGCATACAACGCAGAACGTGTCGGGACGTCGTACCCCTGTTGGAGAATCGCGAGTTGGGCGACATACTTTCACCGCAGGACTCACCGCGACACGCCTTTTGGACTTGAGCGTCTTGTGCCCTGCACTCTCCAGGCCCCGGAGGCATATGTCGAACACCTTGTCCCAGGTCTCCCTTGGCGTTGCAGCATCGACGTCGAATTCCCGACCGACTGCGACTACTCCATCAAGATCACCCGGCTCCCACATGTCCTCCTGCTCTCAAATACGGCAGGCGTCGAAATAAGCAGCACGAAAAACGTAACGCCAAGCAGATGAAACGATTTCTGTGAGACTACATTCTTCTCCAATCAGCCAACAACGATAAGTACATAGTCCACACCGCGACGGCCACCGGCGTCGTTACTTGTATACGAGTACCTTCGCCGAAAGGTAAAGA